GTGTCTTATAATGTGTCACGCAGCCACTTTGTGGCCATGCAGTCTGGAATGCGGCCTGGAGCTTGGCGGTGGTTGGGCAGTGGAGTTTGGCTGCTGGGGCTGGGTCCCTTGGGGTAGGGCGGGCTCTCACCTGCCCCATAGTCTGGCGTGGAGTCCAGTGGCATGGTTCTGGGAGACTCATTTTATACTCCCTGTGGAAAATTCCGTGAGTTCTTGAGGATGGCCAATGAGGAGATTATCTGGTGCCGGCAGGGTGTGGCTTATATATGTGATCCCTGAGTCAACGGAGACTGGGGGAAGCAGGCAGAGGATCTTTGTTCCGGGTCCCATTGAGTCCAGTGTCCAAGATCACAAAGGTCCTCATTATCTGGGTTCTGTGGGACATCATTTTGTGAGGCTCAGCCTGAGCATCTGGAAAGCAGCCTGGAGTATGGCAGTGGTTGGGCAGTGGAGGTCGGCTGCTGGGGCTGTGTCCCTTGGGGTGGGGAGGGCTCTCATCTGCCCCACAGCCTGGCGTGGAGTCTGTTTTTTTTATTTATACAGCTTATTTTGGAGGGGGTGTTGGAAGCCACACCCAATGGTGCTTAGGGCTTACTCCTACCTCTATGCTTATTGATCACTTCTGGCAGAACCAGGAGAACCATATGGGTGCCAGGGATTGAGTTCAGGTCTGCTGTGTGCAATTCAAGAGCTCTACCACTGTATTATATTTCTAATCTTGTGACATAATTATTAACTTGATTTTCCTGCGAGAGTCAGAACATTCAAATACCTATTATTATAGTGACCAAAGCAATAATTAAAAAATATTTTGAAAAAATTATTTTCAGGGATGGAAGAATAGTACAGCAAATAATTTTCTTCCTTTGCAATACTGATCCAAGTTCAACCCCCAACACCCCATGTAGTTCTCTGAGCCCCACCTGGAGTAATCCCTGAGAACAGAGCCAGAAGTAAATCCTGAGCACCACTGGATGTAGCCCATCACTCCTAAGACAAATATCTTATTATTGCAGTCAACAACAATGATAAAGCTTGCAAATAGATTCTCCCTTAAAAAGTTAACATTCGCCTTCTCCAGATGGAATCCTGGTGACCAGGAGCTTTTACAAGCATGGCTCTGTCATGCGGGTACCAGGCCTATTTTCTGAACCGCAGTGGGGCCACCCCGGCTCCCAGGCAACCTCTGATTCCGGAAGTCATGCCCACAACCCACCCCCAGCACACGGAATACAGCAGCGAAGAAGAAAAGCGGCTGGAGGGCCTACAGCTCCCGGAGAATTCTCTGGGCCCCATACAGAGCCGATATCACCGGGAGGTCCCAGATGGGGTAGGTGCTGTCTCCCCACCTTCTCCACATGAAATCCCGATGACCATTAGCTTCTACAAGCATGGCTCTGGTATGCGGATACCAGGACTATTTTCTGAACCGCATAGCCACTTATGCGTCCGCGGAACATTTCCTGATATGCAAAGTGATCAATGAAAAGTAAATGATCTAGCGTTTGTCCCTGAAAAACAGGCTTGAATGGTGTTGGGAAAATCTGAGCAAAAGATAATGCCCAACTGAAATACATCTGGACTGTGTATTTAACTATGGTGCTATGCCACCCCGGGAGGGGAAGGGTGTCGGTCCCTCAACCTGTCCCCCTTTGTGGCAGCGACATGGTGGCTTGCATCTTTTAGAGCCTATTGAATAGCCAGGTATGAGACTGCATTGACAAGGCACGTGGGGCTTCATGGGATGGGGGGTGGAATCGGCCCTATTCCCCGCCATGACAATGCTCCGGGTTGCCACCCTCAAACACCTTCTCTGGCTTCTGACTGACCATGAACCCAGAGACACACATACCAATCTCGGAACCCAGGGGCTTCTGGCAGTAATCCCTCTAGGTTTTTTTTACTAAAATATCAGAAATTCAAATTCGTGTGGCCACAATAGTGGCCACACGACAGCATATGCTCTTCATAATCAGCAACAGAAAACAAATTTTCTAATTATGTCTTTGTGGCAGGTCTGAATGTTGGGGAAAATTCCAAATAACAATGTTGGGTCTTTTGTCATAATATTGAATGTGATCGAGAGAGAGAGAGAGAGAGAGAGAGAGAGAGAGAGAGAGAGAGAGAGAGAGAGTAAAGTGGAAATCTGCCGCACAGGCAGGGGGTGGGTGGGAGGGGGGTATACTGGGGTTCTTGGTGGTGGAAAATGTACACTGGTGAAGGGATAGGTGTTTGATCATTGTATGACCAACCGAGACTTGAACTGAAAGACTTTGTGACTGTTCTCACAGTGATTCAATAAAAAAGAGTTAACATTTTTCTAGCTTTTTATAAAAAAAGCTTTTTATATTTTCTGTTATTCAGCACTGTCTAGTGAGTTCTTTCTATATGTCTTGGTAATAGGAGATATGGAACATTACACATAAAATATAATAAACTTTGTTTCTTTTTGCTATTTTCTCTGTTATTCCCTTCTTCCCTTCCTTTTATTGCTGTTGTCATCCTCATTGTTTCAATGCCCAGGGGTCATATACTTAATTATGATGCTTACTTACTCTTGGCTGCATTGCACCAGAGAACACCCACAATGTTTTTTGGAAAGTTCTTGGCCATGTGGGGTGGTGCTGGGGATTTAATGTGCAGGTGCTCTACCTCCAAACAATCCTGTGTTGTAATATTGCTAACAAAAAGCTGAATTGAGAGAGAATTCTGAAATTGTTCTCCTAACAGAATTATAAGAAGCACCTGTTGGTTTGTTATGTATTTTTTCTTTCTTATTTCACTCATTTTACTTAAGCATATATCTAGAACCAGGGAGTCACACTCTCTTTGATCACACAATAAAAAATGCTTACATGTTATCTAGCTGTTTTCTTTTTCCTAATGGGAAAATTCTACTAAGAGTGGTGAGAATAAAAAACTTGTTTCTGATTATCTTTGCTGTGTCATAGCCATAACGCCAAGGAACCAGGACTATAATCCCTGAACCATGATTACAAAAAATTCCACTGCGGCGCTTCACTCCCAACGGGATATAATAGCTTTCTCCCAGAGGTTGAAATAACCTAGCAAAAGCAAGTTATTCTCCAATTCCCATTTCTCTGGTGTGTAACAACTAGAAATTCCCACATCCTGGTCTTTGTTGGTAGATGACAGCTAGGGACGCTTGAGGGCTGCGCCTGATGCAAAAGTTAAAGAGCGCAGTGGTTTCCTTGGTGCAGCCTTTGACAGAAAAGGCTTTTGAAAAGAAACCTCATCTTCTGCCAACAAAAGTCTGAGAAATGTGGTATGATTGGTTGTTAAAATTACTGAGTGTGTAAACTAAAAAAGACGGCAACAGCAGTGGCAGTCTATCTCTCCCGCCGCCCGCGTTCGGTAGTCTCATGCTGGTTCCCCCACCCCGGGAAAGTCAGTGGCGATGGGCAGGTGAAGGAAGGAATGAGGGCCAGGCTGGTTGGTCTTAGTTGCAGTTTATTCCAATCCTCTCTCCATCCACTCCTGTCTCTCTCCTCTGCCTCCCTTCCTGCTTCTTCCTCCTCCATGCTACTTCATTCACCTCCTCAATCCCCCCTACATTCTCCTTCTGGCTCTGGAATCTGGATCCCCTTTCTCCTTCTCATTCTGGAGTCTGGATCCTGATCCCACAGCCCACTCTTCCAGTCTAGTTAAATCCCAAAACATGAGCGGTTGGGGTAACAATTACACACAGGTGTGGTCACAATCAATAGGGGTGAAGTTCTTTCCCTCAGGGAAAGCAGCTTCTAGGACAGATACTTTCTCAGCAGGATGACCCACCCTAGAGCAGAATCCCCTGGGTGTGTTTCTCCTCTCCTTGTCCAACAAACATATAATATAAACATATAGGATAAACATAATATAAATCATTTTGTATGGATACAGTAAGAAATACCTTAAGCTTATAGAATTGCTCTCCTAGGGCCATCTCGATCTCAAACTACAGTGCTCAGGCGAGATAGTCTTTCCTATCCCTAGCAGCGTCCTAGTCTCATTACATTTGGATCATGACAGCATTTGTCTATGATCAAGCTCAACTTATAGTTAAGAATCATGGCATTTTGGCCTGGCCCATTTCTATGCCAGGGTAGCTTACCACTTGCCCTGGGTCCATTCAGTCCCTCGTCGGGACCCTGCTTTTGGGGTGTTTTAGGAACTAAGGGCAACTGAGGCTTAAGTCGAGAAAGCAGGTGCCCGGGAGTGAATAATATTTAGAGCCAATTAAATCCTAAGTTACAAAGCATAATATTAATGGTCTTCCTATATCTATACAAAAAGGACATTGCTTTAAAGTAAACTATTCATAAGACATAAGGAGAGGAGAAAGACAATATTAACTTACAATTTCAGTGTCCTAGAAGGATCTGACCTTACAAATACTTAACAGACTCTGATTAGGGGAAAAGCTGATTAACTGGTTGGGGAAGAGAGCATAGAGAAGTGGTTACAGACAAACGAAGGAATGGGAGTGACTCCAGAGCACTGTGATGGGTGTAACCTGATAAACCTAAGCTCCTTGTGGCAAGGGAGAAAGGACAAAGCAATGTCATCCTACAACTGAGTGCCATAATAATCACTCTAAGTTAAAAACTTTGCCCTCCATTTGGCTGAGAATTAACCAGAATAGCTATTTGTTTTACCCTTTCCCCCCCTTTTTTTGGTGAGTGGGGAGTGGGGGTGTCACACCAGTGGTGCTCCGGGCTTCCTCCTAGGTCTGCACTAAGGGATTACTCCTGTTGGGTTTTGGTGGAACTGTCTGGGATGCCAATCCAGGTTGGGTGCATGCAAAGCAAGCGCCTTACCCACTGTACTATCTCTCTGGCCTATGCTTAACCCTTTGGAATGACTATGTTGTTGCCATACACTTCACAGCCTATACCAATTACTGGCGAATTTCAGAATTGTTGCAAATTGACCATACCATTTTTTCTATTTCCTCTCCAACCTTTCACTATACTGATATTTTTTTATTCCCACCCTTCCAGGACTCATCGTTGGGGTGATCCTGAGGTATGGCACCCCGGCCACCAGCGGCCATGACAAGACACTCAGCTGCAGTCAGGAAGACAGGGCTTTCAGCACCTTGCTAGTTAATGTCAGTGGGAAATTCTTTGAGTACACCTTGAAAGGAGAAATCAGCCCTGGCAAAATCAACAGTGTAGAACAGAATGACATGCTGAGAAAGGTGAGCGGAGCATAATTGTCATCTTAACATGGTTGGTGACTTTCTGATTCTATCTTGACCCCGTGGAGAGAAATGTTTGCAAATTCCTGGAATATCAAGGGTAAAAGCTTCCTAAAGGAGGAGTTTTAAACCAGTTTTAAATTTGAGCCTTTCCGATTTGTTTGCGTCAGTAGCTGGTGTGGGTCACTGATTATGCAGTGGGTTTGAACATCCCTACTCTGCTCATGTTTCCAAAACTCAGAGTTTTCCTACTATGACTCTTGTTATGGCTTACAGATGCAATTGTTCCTTCCATAAAATAATATGGATTTTCATTTTCAGATGATTTATTTAGTGTTTAGAAATATAATTCTTAGTTCTACTGCTATGGTCTGCAAATATTTATAGACTGCCCACTCTCATCGATGATTTATGGCCAAAGGCTAAATGAGAATGCTCTGTTTTCTTAGAATCCTAGCCCAAACGCTTTCTCATTTGTCATAGCAGGTAGTTGATACTCCATCTCTTCACTAAGGTGATTCCCAGGATAAGCAAGAGATCTGTATATGTCTACATATAATCTATGACCTTATAGAACCAGACTTACTGGCAGGAAAGCTTCTCTATAAGGTCTCATGGATGCAGGTTCTAGGTATTCCATTTTAATATACTATAAAACTTGCAGTCAAGCAAAGTATAGATGGTGCCCCCCCCCATTAAATGAATATTGTTCTGAGACTCTACCTTAAAGAAAAGTGTCAGCCAACATTAAACATGACCATCTCTTTATATCCCTAAGGGAAGACCTAGTGAACTCTTTGCTCCCCTTTCTTCATAAGAATGCATGGGATTTTCATAAACATTTCTGAAATGAAATGCAACTGGAAATGTGCCCAGTGTAAATATCATGCTAATGGGTACTTTGAATGACACCTTTAGTCCTATATACTCAAGAGAATAAGTGTAAAAAGAGAATGAGATCTCTTTTAAATTTTTTTAATTTATATTTTAAAATAAAGAACCACGATGTACAAAATTATTTAATTTAAGGCATATAGTACATCGACATTAATCCGACCACCAGTGTCAACTTCTCTCTGCCAGTGTTTCTCTGCCGAACCCCCAGCCACCTGTCACCTTGACAGGCAAAGCACAAAGTTTGGTAGTGGCAGCTTAGGTCTTATGTTTTCAATATTAAGTCTGATTTGGATATATAACTGTACCAATCAGCAGTGGTATCTTAGCCCACCTCCATCCTGTAGATAACAGATAATACTGGCTTTTTTCTCTATAGTTTTACAAAAAAATGATTATCTAAATCCCTTTTGTTTAAAATTGGGCCACACAGAGCAAAGGCAGGAGAGTAAACAAGAGCAAAATGATTTTTGTTGAAGTAAGTTACATGTTGAGGCAACATGATCGATGCTAAGAGTATATTAGTATGGGGATCAGGAAACTCTTGTTTAGACAGTATTGGGTAGTCTCCATATTAGGAAGGTATATTAGGGGGTATGGAATGTCCCCTTCTCATTATGACATTCTCTGCTTTATAGAATACACTTATTGTATTTAAAAATAAAGACTCTAAGAAAAAACATAGTTTGAGAGAACCATTTTACTTTTTTTTTCTTTTTGGGTCACACCAGGTGATGCACAGGGGTTACTCCTGGCTCTGCACTCAGGAGTTACTCCTGGTGGTGCTCAGAGAACCATATGGGATGTTGGAAATCGAACTCAGGTCTGCCGCGTGCAAGGCAAATGCCCTACCGGCTGTGCTATCTCTCCAGCCCCGAACCATTTTACTTTTAGTTAGAATGATTGAGCTTTCTAGTTTTGAAAGAGAAGCACTAACTTTTAGTAATTAGAACAAAGAGTTATAAATTATTCACAAAAGCCAATTAATCCACTAAAACATTCCTTAATAAGGTTAGAAGGTTTCTATAATGCTTAATTCTTTTATGGATGTGACAAAGCTTTCTCTGATATCTATCTAATAAGCTGACTAATATCTAGATAGATATCAGCTGACTGATATCTATCTAATAAGCTTCACAGTAATTTTTCTGTATTAAACCTGGAGGTAATTTCAGTCTCCTTAATGTTACTGAATTTATGTTGATATTGAGGAAATCCCTAGCATCATTGGAAGGCTCTGGTCTAGGCCACATCACATATTACAGAAGAGATTTAAATTCAGAAGTAAGTTTATAGTGATTCTGTGAAAGGATCCAGAAAACTAATAAAGTATTATGATTGCATTTTTAAAATTGAAGTTGAGTCTTAATTTTGATCATAATCAAGATGCTTTTGTTTCTTGATTAAAAACAAAGGCTTCTCTAAGATCTCAAAATTGCTCTGAAAGGGTGGATCTTTTAATGTATATTAAACAGCAAATACTCCAGGATCAAAAGTCTGAAGTGCCTTGAGTGAAACATACCAGTTAAGAGGAACCATGGTTCCTCTCTAATAATGAGTTCATGATTTTTCATGCTTATTTTTTCTGCCATTTGCTTTAAATATTTAAACTATTGTTAGTGACTTAAATATTAAGCGAATAGTATAACACCAATTGTCATTACACTAAAACTTGGTTTTTTGCCCTTTTGGAAACTTTCAGGTAACATTTGATCCAGAGGTATTTTTCAATATTCTATTGCCTCCAATTATTTTCCATGCTGGTTACAGTTTAAAGAAGGTAAGATATTTTTTTGCCAATATTTATTTTTAAATTTAATTTAATTTTAGGCACCATTGTTTGCAATACTGTTAATGATAGTGTTTCTTGCACAATTCATTCCAGCATCACACCCTTCACCAGAATGTCCACTTCCCTCTACTTTTATTCCAGTGTCATCCCCCATCCTCATACCCACTGTGGTAAGCTTCCAACTAATAACAGTTCTCAGTTTCTATTGCCTTTGAGCATTTGTTATTCCCCCTACTGTGATTCTTTATATCCTGCACATGGCATATGAGAGATCATTCTGTGACTATACCTCTTGTTCTGATTAATTTCACGCAGTATGATACTCTCCAAAACCTTCCATGTGGCAGCAAATTGCCTGACTTTATCTTTTCTTTTAGCTGAGTACTAGTCCATTCTGTGTGTGTGCTTGTATCATGGTTTCTTTATTCAGTTATCTGGTCCTAGATATTTGGTTTATCTGGTCCTAGACATTTGGTTTGTTTCCAGATTTTGGCTATTGTGAATAGAGCTGAAATGAGTACAGATGTCTTTTGTTTTTTGTTTTGTTTTTGTTTTTGTTTTTTGGGGGGTCACACCTGGCGATGCACAGGGGTTACTCCTGGCGATGCACTCAGAAATTACTCCTGGCACTGCTCAGGGGACCATATGGGATGCTGGGAATTGAACCCAGGTAGGCCGCATGCAAGGCAAACGCCCTACCCACTGTGCAATTGCTCCAGCCCCAAGTACAGATGTCTTTTATTAATAGAATTTTTGGACCCTTAGGGTAGATGTGAAAAAGTGGGATTTCTGGGTCATATGGAAGCTCAATCCCTAATTTCTTTTGAGAAACATTCATATTGCTTTTCAAAAGGCTTGATCAGTTGACATTCCCACAGCAGTGAATGAGGATATATTTCTCCCACATTCTCATCAGTACTGGTTGTTTTTGTTCTTCCTGATGTGTGTCAGTCTTACTAGTATGAGATTATCTCATTGTTGTTTTGATTTATACTTTGCTAATGATAAGAAATACAGAAAATCTTTTGACCATCTGTATGTATTCTTTGAAGTTTCAGTTTATCTCTTCCCCCCATTTTTGACTGTGGTCTTTGTGCCCCCCTTAATCACTACAAAGGCTTGAGCACTGAACCAGTAGGCTCACTCTGCTGGATTTAGCATTACTAGAAATGCCCCCCTGTGCCACTGATATGCCCTCTATTAAGACAAACTAAGTCAAAATGACTGTATGATTCACGAATATTCTTTCCTGAGTATTGGTCCCATGAAAATGAAAAGCATAATTCACATAAAATTCTGTACATACTTGCTCAGAATGACTTTGTATTAGTGTCAATGTATAAACAGCCAAATTGTCCTATAGTAGGTGAATGGTTAAACAAACTTCCATACCATGGGATTCTACTCAGTAATGAAATGTGTACAAACTATTGATAAATGCAAATGCCTGAATTTCATCAGCATTATGCCAAGTGAAAAAGATCCAGTACCAAATAGTTAAATATTGTATTAATTCATTTATATACCATTCTAGAAATGGAAAAAATTAAGGATGGAAAACAAGTTAGTGGTAACTAGGGATTACGAATGGTATAGGTAAGAAAGAAGTGGGTGTGATTATAAAGGGATCCATAAGAAAGATCATCATGGAGTGAAATAATTGCATTTATATTAGTATTTTCATGAAACTACAACTATGATGAAATTATCTAGAAATGTGCATATACATTATACGAACATCAGTTTTGCTGTATTCAATATTGTGTTATAATTACACAAGATATAATGAGTGAAACTTGGTGAAGTTAAATGGAATATCCCATACTATCATTGAAACTTCTGTAAATCTATAATTACTCTAAAACAAAAGCTAAATCTAATTTTAAGACCTTTGCAGATGGTGTCAGTGGATTGAATAGCCTTGGATGACTTTTGGCAGTCTATATTTTGCCTTTTCAATTATAGTTTGGATAACATGGTTACAATAGCATTGACATTTGGTTACAGTTTTGGGGAACAAAGGGGATGTTAGGGCATACTCAGCCATGCTCAAGGGTGCCTACCAGCACTGCAGGGGTAAAGCAGCATCCTGTCCTCAGGTCCTTGAACTGAATTGACACCAGTTGGCTGATAATCGCTGAAGGAGGTCCTGGACTTCCTCGGTATCCCTTGGAAGCCCCTCCCTCCAAAAATTTGTCAGTACAACAAACCCTATTAGGATCTTTGGAGGATTTCTTCAGAGCAGATGGCTTTGGGGCAGTGGCATTCCTGGGCTCAGACAAATGCTTTGAGCCACCAAGCCATTGCAGGATGGTTTATCTGTTTTTGTTTAATAGATCTGATTGTCAAATGACAATTTATACCTTGAAGAGTAAGAGTCATGACTTAGAACCCCAAGAACAGGTTTTTTTTTATTTTTTGTCTGTTTCTTTTTGTAGTGACAGAAATAGAACCTAGTACTTCACGCAAGCACAAGCACAATTCATTCAAGGCGAGGTACTCCTAAGCTACAGGCTCAATAAGAACAGGGATTCTTTAAAATATCCCGCAGATCTAATGACTTTAGAGAAGTGTTGTGTGTGTATGTGTGTGTGCGTGCATGTGTGCACTCAAATATACTTTAATGAGATCATTGAATAAAAAGAAGTATTAAAAGCATTTCAGTTTTTCTACCTCCTTCTAAGGATTTTACAGATACATATGTCACTGTCCTCCCGTTGTTCATTGATTTGCTTGAGCGGGCCTAGTAATGTCTCCATTGTGAGACTTGTTACTGTGTTTAGCATATCGAATAAGTCATGGGTAGCTTGCCAGGCTTTGCCTTGCAGGCGAGATACTCTTGGAGCTTGCCGGGCTCTCAGAGAAGGGCAACATATCAATATATATGTATGTATATATGTGTATATATATATATAATATTAAGTGGAACAGTTTCCCATTTCTCCACATCTATGTCTATTGTCCCTCTTTTCCATATTGCAAAGATCAATCTGTGTGAGTGTCAAGAGCTCTCTCAGAACACGGAGAGATGCATAGGATACTGTTTTCTGATAAAGAATTAAGAAAAAAGTTTATTTGATAGCACTCTCACACCTTACTAGTTTCAAAGTTCTACCTGTAATGACTGTTCAAATTACCATCAACACTTAAAGTGTGTACCTGAATCATCAGAATAAAATGGTTTGTTAAATATGAAAATGATTGTCCAATTCATATTCTTCTCCCTCTCTCTGTCTCATTTTCTCTCCCTCTCCACTTTTTCTTGCCCTTTCTTCAATTTATTGTAATCTGCTTTTTTCAGTTATTTATAATCAGAGTATATTCTTCTGAAACTTAGGGATTGGTAGGACAAGCAATGTTTTAGAAAACATGTTTAACACTGAAAATTATTCAATCATAACATCATTATTTGAAGCACTAAGAAGCAGTAGATATAGTTTCACATTTAATTTAATTTTTCTGACTTTATTTAAACAATGTGTTTTACAGATTTGCTTATGATGATTTGTTACAGGCATTCAATATCCAACCCCAATCACAATACCACTGTTACCTTCCCTCCACCATTGTCTTCATTTTCCCAACCACCCCTCAAGCCTACCCCCATAGCAGGCCCACAGTAATTTATTGTGTATTGTTTGTTACCACTAAAAGGCTAATGGAATGATAAAAATATTTCAGTAAAAGAAAGTTTGTGGAAATTGTTGTATCTCACCATTAGGACATTAAGTCCTAGTCTGAGGGTCTACTAAGCTGTTGGTGCAAGTTAAGTTAATGTTTTTATTAGTCAAGTTTAATCTGGTGTGATCTTACTGGGATGTTAGTATTCTAGAATTTGTAGATGTTTTACTCCAGAAAATTCAGAGTATTTGACTGGGCAGTCCATCCAGAAGCATGGCAGCAGCTGCTGATGTGTGTGTGTGTGTGTGTGTGTGTGTGTGTGTGTGTGTGTGTGTGTGTGTGTATGGCTTCAGGGCTTTGGTACAGCTGGAATTTGGCCCAATCCCTTCCCAAGATCACCCTGGGGATGTCAGCCAGGACTGAGTATCTGAGAAACTACTGCGGCTCATTAATCTCTTTCAGATTTATGAGTCTCTGGAACAGGTCTGGTAGATGAGCTTACACAGCAGTGGCTGTGGGACGTAGCTAATTTCACATTATAAAAATTGTCAATGTGTGGGGACAGAGCGATAGTACAGCGGGTAGGGCATTTGCCTTGCAAGTGGCCAACCACGTTCAATCTCTGGCATCCCATAGGGTCCCCCAAACACCACCAGGAGTAATTCCTGAGTGCAGAGCCAGGAGTAACCCCTGAACATCGCTGGGTGTGACCCAAACAGCAAAAAAAATGTCAATGTGTGTCTTAGGTTCATTCTCAAATATCAAAATATAATTTCTTCTTTTTTACTTTGTTCAGAGACACTTTTTTCGGAATCTTGGATCTATTCTGGCCTATGCCTTCTTGGGTACTGCTGTATCCTGCTTTATTATTGGGTAAGTAACTATTGGTCATTATGTAAACTCCTTCAGCTTGGGTGATGCTAGGAGTAGTCACACATTAATGGATGTTCCTGGGCTCTCCAGGCGGCTCTCTCTCACCACCCATGTTTGGTGCTCTCGAACAACTTCCTCACCCTGGACAGCTGTTGCTATGGGCGGATGAAGGAGGAACAAAGGCCAAGCTAGTTGTTGATCATTTGCCATCTAGTTCATCTCTCATCACTCCCAAACTTTCTCCACAACTCTCACAACTCTCTCCCCAACTCACCCCCCAACTCTCTCCAACTCTCTCCCAGCTCTCTCCAACCCTCTCTCTAACTCGCTCCACAATGCTCTCTCGCTCTCTCCCAGCTCTCTCCAACCCTCTCTTCCTCACCAACTCTGTCCCCCACTCTCACTTTCTCTCTACCCTCCCCAACTCCCCCAGCCACCACTTTAACTAACTTTTCTCTAACCATGCCTTCCCCATCCAAGCACAATCAACATTTTTTTTAATGTAGGAGTACTGCTATTTATTCAGCCACTGATTAGCTGATTGAATTGGGCATGAACTCCACCTTACTTTTTTTCATAATTTTATTTTTTTCTTATATTTATTTATTTAATCTGTGGGAAAAGTTACAAAGCTTTCAGGTTTAAGTCTCGGTCATACAATGATCAAATGCCTTTCCCTTTACCAGTACTCATTTTTCACCACCAAAAACCCCAGTATACCCCCTCCAACCCCTCCCAATGCCTGTGAGGCAGATGATTTATACTTAACTTTTCTCTACATTGATTAAATTCATTATTTCGACAAAAGATGCACCATTATTGTTTAGAATTTTCCCCCCAACAACCAGAATTGCTGAAAAGGCATTGTGAAATACTTTGTTGTCTATAGCTGGTTATGAGAATCATATAATGATTTTGGATTTCTACAAAGAACCAGATAATTACAAGATTGGTTTCTGTGCATATGGTGTTATGGCTGTGCCCCCACTCGTGGGGAGCAACTCGTGACCTCGGTAGGGCGTGAAGGTAGAGCTGGTATCGCCCCTCTTCCCATGAGACTGCAGTTGCCCTGTCACCGCCGGCTCATACCTGGCTTTCCTATAAGCTCTGAGGTGGTGGCCACCCTGCTGCCGGGGCGGGGACGAGGCGGAACAGAGCAACAGTCTTTTCCTCCTGGGGAGGCATGGTGCCATAGTTTAACACATGGTCCATTCACTTTTCTGCTGCAAGCTTCCAGGCTCTGAATTAAGTCCTTTTGCCTCTGGAGCCATGGCTGTGCCAGAGAGCCGCTTGTTGGGGGAGGGGGCAACTTGTGACCATGGTAGGGCATGAAGGCCGAGCCGGTAATGCCTCCCTTCCCATGAGACTGCTAGCTCATACCTTGCTTTCCTATACGCTCTGAGGTGGCGGCCAGCTTATATGCAGTCCAGATGCATTTCTGCCAAAAGCCGCTGGGTGTTGAGATTTGTTACTGAGTCTCTGGGATATTGGCCGTTAATTAGCTTGATCAGGAGCCAGAGAGGCCGTTTGTAGGCGGCCACTCGGGGTCTCATTGGGTTGAGGAAGAAAGGGCTGGTTCCACCCCCATCTGGTGAGGCCCCACTTGTCTCATCACTGCAGGCCCAAACCTGACTGTCCAGTGGCCTGTGGAGGATGGTGGTCAACAGGCCGCCAGGGGGAACAGGCCAAGGCACAAAACCTATTCCCACCTGGAGTGGCCTAGCACCCATAACCTACTGCTGGAACAGGATGCATTTCTGCCAAAAGCCTTTGGGTTCTGAGATTCGTTTCTGAGACTCTGGAATCATGGCCGTTAAGCAGTTCGATCAGGAACCAGAGAGGCCATGCCTTCAATTATATAGCTGAGCTGGAGTTGGTTTGTGGGTGTGTCTCCCACATACCTAACTTTTGGCTGTTTACTTTCTTGGTAAACTTTGTCCCAAGTTTTTGGGGTCTGGCCAAAGGCACAACAGCAATTTTGGGGTATCTGAAAGTCTGATGGTGCCATCAGGCCGCTGATGCACTTGCCTCACAGGTACAGATTGACCTGCTGGTGGCACCATACCGCCAATCAACATGTTTTTTAAGCCTTCCTGACCACCTGCAGCCCGGGAGGCAAAATAGCACTTAAGGTGTGTTTCTCCTCTCCTTAGACCAGTAACTTAATTAGCACCTTATTTCTACTTCCTAATATTTGTCATTCTGTATGGACACAGTAATAGGCACATTTAGGCTTATAGGGTGACTCTCCTGGGGACATCTCAGCACAGACTCAGACTACAGTGCTCTGGCCGGATTAATGATTCCTAACCCTAGCAGGGTCCGAATTTAGTTATTACTTTTTGGATCATAGAGAATTTGTCCATGACCACGCACTTAACTTATAGTTAAATATTATGGCACTTTGGCCTAGCCCATTTCAATGCCAGGGTAGCTCACAGCTTGCCCTGGGTCCATCCAGTCCCTTGTCGGGACCCTGCTTTTGGGAATCTAGAAAGTAAGGGCAACTGAGGCTTAAGTCGAGTGAGCAGATGTCCAGGAGGTAATATTATCTGGAGTCAATGAACTCCCAAGTTACAGGCTTGTCTTTTTAGCTGTCTTCCTTTGTCCATACAAAAAGTATACAAATTGCTCTGAAGTAACTAACCATGCAAAGGACATTAAGGAGAAGACAAAAACAATATTTACAAGTCAGCAGAGTCTTATCAGGAGACAAAGGTAATTGACAGGTTGGGGGAGCAATCAATAAACCCAAGCTCCCTGCAGCCAGGGAGGAAGGGAAAACCAATGTTATCCTACAGGTCACAAAACTATATTAATGTCCTGTATAAAGATGTGAGATCCACATGAATGCACAGAGTCCATTACTCCTTTTTTAAAACTTCAAAATTTGTTTCCAAGTTTAATTGAGCTATAAATTGACATCTAACAAATGCTGTGTGAGTTTAAGGTGTACATGTTCATTAATATATTTACAAATTATAAAGGGCTGGAGCAATAGCACAGCGGGTAGGGCATTTGCCTTACATACAGCCTACCCGGGTTCGATTCCTCCACCCCTCTTGGAGAGCCTGGGAAGCTACTGAGAGTATCTCACCCACACAGCAGAGCCTGGCAAGCTCCCCATGATATATTCGATATGCCAAAAACAGTAACAACAAATCTCACAATTTGTTGTGAGACGTTACTGGTACCTCTTATGTAGAAAAATTCTAAGTAATTTGTGCATGCCCATTCCCCCGCAAGGAGATGGAGTGGACCCTCTCAGATTGCGGGCTATGCCTAACAGGAGGAAGAAAGAGAATTGTTACAAGAGAGAATTCACGCAGTTGATCAAGATTTGTAGCAATCATGGGTGACCATGTTCTACTCTGAGTGTTGGTTGTGAGGCTGGCACTTTGCCTCTATCTTCCTTCCCAAACACATTACTTCAGTCTAATCATGAGGGGGGAAAACAAACAAGTACCTATTAAGAAACATTTTTAAAAATACCTGACATAAGTCTCAACATGTGTGAAGGACATTGGGGGTGAGGGAGAGGAATCATAGTCACTGAAACTATCAGAGTGAAGAGATCAAAGAGATGTGATGACCAACTGTAATATGTTATCCTGGATGTGATCTTGGGGCAGAAAAGGGAATTTAGGAAACGACTAAGCAAATCTGAATAAAGAACAAACTGCAGTTTATTTAAAATGAAAGGACATGGACTTTGGCTGTAAGAGACAAGTCATCAAATAGTGACAGGTTAGATAACTGCCATCAGTACTGATGGTAAGCAAGACAGGGAAGTCCGTTGCCCAGGTCTAAGATTGTGGGATAAGGAAATGAAGAGGAAGGTCTTTCTATAGGTGATATTTAAAAGAGATACCTATGATGAGCAATAAAGCACAAGTAAAATATGTATCTAGGTTTATTGTAACTTGGAATAGAATGTATAAATTGCTGAAATAATTTATGGTGCACAGCAATTAAGCATTTTTACTGTCTTCTTTTCTCAAAAGAACTCAATTCTACAAGTAGTTCTTGAGCCTTAACTCAGTTAACTGTTCAAGGCTCCCAGGTATTAAAGGGTTGGTTGTAGAATATGTGTCTATGTTGTGGTTGTTTTTATTTTTCTCCTCTGCAACCCTCCTTCCCTGCATACACACATGAACTATGTCTTACCATTCCACACTTTTGCCACTTATAAGCTGAGAAGTATGTTTGGGCCAAGATGAAGTATTTAACTTGGTGTTCCATCTGGGATCACTATGCATTCTGTACAACAATAAGGAACAATAATGAAGGGCTGCTGATGGCCTGCAAAACCCATGCAAAGACTAAGTAGCCAGCTGTGCCTATGAGTACACGGAGATTTTAATATGATGTTTGCAGCAGCAATTTTCACTCTCCAGTCTGTGCACCTGTGCAGATCCACAGTGGTAAAAAAAGGCTGAGAATTGCTGCTTTAGGATTTTTATCTCTCTTCCATTCCTTGAAATAATTTGTGGCAGAGAAACTTGATCACCCAGATCTTTGTGACCAATCCATTTTTTAAAATAATATTTTCTTCTGTTTAGACTTTCAGATGTGATGCAATGTGTAGGCACCATGCAATGTGTTGAAATTTGTTGTTGTTTGTTTGTAGCTATTTCCTCCTTCCCTTCTTTTGTTGTGGTGGTTCTGATTAATGAGGGTCACATGTGGAGCTGGGGTTCTCAAATGGCACTGCTCCCAGGATGGCACTCAGTGTGTGGGGTAGGTGATGATGCTTGAGTTCTCAATCTTATACCGATAAGAAGTCCATGCCTGGATCCAAATCAATCCATTTTTCCCCTATCCAACTGTATCCAGTCTACTCTTTTCCATGAATTTAATTTTTAGTGTCTAAATATTTAATTTATTTTGGCTGTTTTTGGGCCACACCAAGCATTGCTCAGGGCTTGTTCCTGGCTCTGTGTTCAAAGATCACTCCTGGCAGTGTTTAAGGAGCTTATGTAGTACTGGGGATAGAACTGGGGTCAACAGCATGCACGGCAAGCACCTTATTCCCTGTACTATCTCCTTGGTCCCATTGTTTCCATAACTTCAAATGTACTTTCATAGACTCCTGTGATATTTATAGCAATATATCACATATTATTCAGGGTTGTTTTTATTCCTTTCTTCTCTAAGACCAGTTGCTTAAGATGCTTCACCTTTCTTGCTAATTGAGGATCATATTTGATTTCAGGGCTGGAGTGATTGCAAGCAGGTAGGGCAAGCGGCCAATATGGCTGACCCGAGTTCAGTTCCTCTGCCCCTCTCAGAGAGCCCGTAAAGCTACCGAGAATATCTCGCCCGCACAGCAAAGCCTGGCAAGATACCCATGACACATTCGATATGCCAAACACAGTAACAATCGTCACAATGGAGACGTTACTGGGCCCGCTCGAGCAAATCAATGATTAACGGGAGGACAGTGACAGTGACTAGATGTCAATCTTATACATTTAAAAATTGAATGTCTAAGGGTTGGAGCAAAAGAGAAGTGGGTAGGATATTTGTCTACCTTGCATTTGTCCAACCCGGGTTAAGTTCCAGGAACACCATATGGTCCACTGAGCTTGCCAGAAATAAGCACTGAGCCAGGTGTGACCGAAAAACTAACCCCCAAAGTAATAATGTCCATATTCTATGAATGGGTTTCAGTTATAGAGCATCTACTGACATGAGGTTATAAGTTCATTTCCCATTACTGCTCCATGTTTTGAGTGCGATCCTGGTGTCACAGTAAAGTATGTGACCTACAGAGCATTGCAACCAAGTGTGTGTGTGACCTAAGATCATCACAAAAGTAATAGTAAAGCAGGAGGGAAGGGGGTAAATGATATGTTCAAATGTTTCAGCAAGATGACATTAATTGTAAATCAGTCCACCAGTGCCAGAGGCCTAATTGTGCATGTTACTGGTAAGTGTCCATTATAGCAGCTGTTTAATTGTTTTCACAAATCTCCCTTAAATGACAATATTCTAATATTACCTTGCTTATTTGATTAGTCACTGAATTAGGAGAGTTTTCATTTTCTTTCTTATTTGTGACACAGTTTACCTTCCCTTCTTTTAGAAATCTCATGTATGGTGTAGTAAAGCTTATGAAGATTGTGGGACAGCTCTCAGATAAATTTTACTACACGGACTGTCTCTTTTTTGGAGCGATCATCTCTGCCACTGACCCAGGTATGTGAATTTAGCCTTATGTTGTGGCATTATGTTATTTGAATGTTCAAGAATTTATGGTGCATTGTGACAAAATTTTCCTGCAGTAGGGAGACTAATATTAACACAGAATGATGGAGGAAGAGAACAATAAGAGGTCTCATAGACTTAGATGGCTTTTCTAAGACAGGCATGATTTATTATTATTATTATTATTATCATCATCATCATTATTATTATTGATCCTATTATTATTATTGATGCTATTATTATTGTTGGCGAATGTTATAGTAAAACATGTAACACAATTTACATTTGTAACTATTCTTTTTTTTATGCAATTTCTTTTTTTTCCCTTTATTTTATTTTATTTTTTTTACAGTTGTAAATTTACAATTTTTTGTGCTTTGGTTTCAATTATACAATGATCAGATACCCATCCCTCCACCAGTGCCCATTTTCCACCACCATGGATAATATCCCTCCCACCCCCATCCCCCCATCCCCCCTGTCTCTGTGGCAGGGCAATCCCCTGTGTTCTCTCTCTCCTTTTGGGTGTTGTGGTCTGCAAAAGAGGCATTGAGTGGCAAACATGTTCAGTCCATAGTCTACTTTCGACATGCATCTCCCCTCCTGGGAGGATCCTCCAAACATCCTTTATTTGGTGTTCCCTTCTCTATCTGAACTGCCCTTTCCTCTAGGATACCCGGCTGGCCTCTAAGTTATGGAGTAATCCTCCTGGTGCTGATCTCAGCTATTCTTGGGTATTAATCTCATACATTCCCACCAACAGTGAAGGAGTGTCCCTTTCTCGCCACATCCACGCCAGCATCGGTTGCTTTTGTTCTTTTGAATGTGGGCCAGTCTCTGAGGTGTGAGATGGTATCTCATTGTGGTTTTGATCTGCATCTCCCTGATGATTAATGATGTAGAGCATTTTCTCATGTGCTTTTTTGCCATTCAGATTTCTTCTTTGAGAAAGTTTCTGTTCATTTCATTGCCCCATTTTTGGATGGGGTTGGATGTTTTCTTCTTGTGGAGTTTAACCAGTATTTTGTATATCCTGGATATCAACCCCTTGTCAGATGTGTATTCGGTGAATATCCTTTCCCATTCTGTAGACTGTCTTTGTATTTTGGTCACTGTTTCTTTGGAGGTGCAGAAGCTTCTTAGTTTAAGATAGTCCCATTTATCTATCTCTGTTTTCACTTGCTCGGCCAGTGGCGTGGCATCTTTGAAGATACCATTAGCTTCAATGTCAGGGAGGGTTTTGCCAACTTTATCTTCAATGTACCTTATGGTTTCTGGTCTGATGTTGAGGTCTTTAATCCATTTTGACCTTACTTTTGTACATGGTGTTAGGCAGAGTTCTGAGACTATTGTTTTGCATGTAGCCATCCAGTGATGCCAACACAATTTATTAAAGAGGCTTTCCTTACTCCACTTCACATTACTTGCACCTTTATCAAAGATTAGATGAGCATATGATTGAGGGGAGATGTCAGTGTATTCAACCCTGTTCCATTGGTCTGCAGTTCTGCCTTTGTTCCAGTACCATGCTGTTTTAATTATTACTGCTTTGTAGTACAGTTTGAAGTTCGGGAGGTTGATTCCTCCCATTTTCTTTTTCCCAAGAATTGCTTTAGCTATTCGTGGGGGCTTATTGTTCCATATAAATTTCAGGAGTGTTTGTCCATTTCTTTGAAGAATGTCATGGGTATCCTTATAGGGATTGCATTGAATTTATACAATGCTTTCGGTAGTATTGCCATTTTGACAATGTTAAGTCTCCCGACCCATGAGCAGGGGATATCTTTCCATTTCCTCATGTCCTCCTTTATTTCCTGAAGTAGCGTTTTGTAGTTTTCTTTGTACAGGTCCTTTACTTCCTTAGTTAAGCTGATTCCTAGGTACTTGATTTTCTGGGGCACAATTGTGAACGGGATTGTTTTTTTCATGTTGCTTTCTTCTCTCTCACTGTTTGCGTATAGGAAAGCCATGGACTTTTGGGTATTGATTTTATAACCTGCAACTTTACTATACGAGTCTATTGTTTCTAGGAGTTTTTTGGTGGAAGTTATTGGGTTCGCTAAGTAGAGTATCATATCATCTGCGAATAGTGAGAGCTTGATTTCTTCCTTTCCTACCTGAATGCCCTTAATATCTTTTTCCTGCCTAATTGCTATAGCAAGTACTTCCAGTACTATATTGAACAGCAGTGGAGAGAGTGGGCATCCCTGTCTCGTCCCTGATCTTAGAGGGAAGGCTCTCAGTTTTTCCCCATTGAGGATGATGCTTGCTGTAGGCTTGTGGTAGATGGCTTTAATTATGTTGAGGAAGGTCCCCTCTATACCCATTTTGGCTAGGGTTTTCATCATAAAGGAGTGCTGGATCTTATCAAATGCTTTCTCTGCATCTATTGATATGATCATGTGCTTTTTATCTTTTCTTTTGTTGATATGGTGGATTATGTTGATTGATTTCCGAATGTTAAACCATCCTTGCATCCCTGGGATGAATCCTACTTGGTCATGGTGTATGATCTTTTTGATGAGTAGTTGGATTCTATTTGCTAGTAGATTGTTGAGGATCTTTGCATCTGTGTTCATCAGGGATATCGGCCTGTAATTCTCTTTCTTTGTGGTATCTCTGTCTGCTTTTGGTATCAGTGTGATATTTGCTTCGTAGAAACTGTTCGGAAGTGTTTTTGATATTTCAATTTCGTGGAAAAGCTTAAAGAGCATTGGTAGTAAGTCCTCTTTAAAGATTTGGAAGAATTCACTAGTGAATCCATCCGGGCCAGGACTTTTGTGCTTGGGGAGACTTTTTATTACCATTTCAATTTCCTTGATGGTGATAGGTCTGTTGAGGTATTCCAGGTCTTCTTGGTTCAGCCTTGGGAGTCTGTAGGAGTCTAGGAATTTATCCATTTCCTCGAGGTTTTGATGTTCCGTGGCATAAAGCTTCTCAAAGTACTCCCTGAGGATCCTCTGAATTTCTGTGGTTTCTGTTGTAATGACCCCCTTTTCATTTCTGATTCGGTTTATTAGGGTTTTCTCTCTCCCTTTCTTTGTGAGTTTTGCTAGAGGCTTATCGATCTTGGTAATTTTCTCAAAGAACCAGCTTTTGGTTTCATTGATCTTTCAGATTGTTTTTTGGGTTTACATCTCGTTAATCTCTGCTCTGAGTTTTATTATTTCCTTTCTCCTGTTCGGGTTGTGCTCCTTTTTTTGGTCCTTCTCCAAGCTCTTAAGCTGTGAGGTTAGGTTACTTATGTGTGCTCGCTCCTCCTTCCTGAGGAATGCTTGTAGAGCTATAAACTTTCCTCTTAACACAGCTTTTGCTGTGTCCCATAAGTTTTGGTAACTCGTGTTCTCATTTTCATTCGTTTCTAGGAATCTTTTGATTTCCTCTTTGATTTCCTGTCTAATCCACTCGTTGTTCAATAGTGCACCTTTTAATTTCCAGGTGTTTGATTTAGTTTTCTGTTTTTGTGTGTGATTTACTTCTAATTTCAGCGCATTATGGTCTGAGAAGATTGTTGATACAATCTCTACCTTCTTAATTTTATGGAGGCATGTTTTGTGGCTCAGCATGTGGTCTATCTTGGAGAATGTTCCATGTACGCTTGAGAAGAATGTGTATTCAGCTTTCTGTGGATGAAGTGTCCTGTATATATCTACTAAGTCCCTTTCTTCCATTGTTTCCCTCAAATGAAGTATGTCCTTGCTAAGCTTGAGTCTGGTTGATCTATCAAGAGGTGACAAAGCAGTGTTGAAGTCTCCCACTAGTATTGTGTTGCTATTGATGTCTTTTTCCAAATCTATGAGTAGTTGTTTTAAGTACTTTGCTGGTCTCTCATTAGGTGCATATACATTTATTATTGTAAGTTCTTCCTGTTGTACAGATCCTTTGATCAATAAGAAATGGCCTTCACTGTCTCTTATGACCTTCCTCACTCTGAAATCGATGTGGTCTGATATAAGGATGGCTACCCCAGCTTTTTTATGGGAGCTGTTTGCCTGTAGGATTGTTTTCCAGCCTTTGACTCTGAGTCTGTGTTTGCTTTGACTATTGAGATGCGTTTCTTGCAGGCAGCAGAATGTTGGGTTCAATTTTCTAATCCATCCTGCCACTCTATGTCTTTTAATTGGTGTGTTTAGCCCATTGACATTGAGAGAGATTATTGTTATGGGATTTTGTCCCATTGTTCTGGTAAAATTTGGTGAATTTGAGGGGCCTTTCTTGCCTTAAAGTAGCCCATTTAGTTGTTCTTGTAACCATGGTTTTGAGTCTATGAAGTTCCTGAGCTGTTGTTTGTCTGTGAAACTGTGTGTTGTTCCTTCTATTATGAATGAGAGTCTTGCTGGGAAAAGTATTTTGGGGGAGGCATTTATTTCATTGAGTTTTTTTACTATGTCCCACCACTGTTTTCGGGCCATGAGGGTTTCATCAGAAAAATCAGCTGTGAATTTTAAGGATGCTCCTTTGTAAGAGATTTCTTTCTTCGATCTTGCTGCTTTCAGAATTTTGTCTCTGTCTAAGGTTTTGGTCATTTTGATCAGAATGTGTCTTGTGGTATTTTTATTCGGATTTCTTCTAGCTGGTACCCTTCGGGCCTCCTGAATGTGGTCACAAGTTTTCTTCAGCTCTGGAAATGTAGCAATGATGTATTTGACAGTTTCTTCTTCATCGAGGTTTTCTTCCTGTCCCTCTGGGACTCCAATAATTCTTATGTTACCCCTCTTGGCTTCATCACGATCTTCTTTTGCCATCTGTTCCTGAATTGTGAGTCTCTTTTCCATTTTCTGCTCTTTTCTGGAGAGTCTCTGAACTTCATCTTCGAGCTCACTGATTCTGTTCTCAGCCGCTCTTACTCTGCTGCTGAGGCCTTCCACTGAGCTTTTCAATTCGCCTACGAGATTTTTCAGGTCTGACATTTCTGATTGCATTTTCCTCATTTCTGCCTTCAGATCCTGTTGTCTTCTATTGGCATTGCTTTCCATTGTTTCTTTTAATTC